TAAATGTTTATTTATTTTTGAAAGAGAGAGACAGAGCACGATCAGGGGAGGGGCAGAGAGAGAGGGAGACACAGAATCTGAAGCAGGCTCCAGGCTCTGAGCTGTCAGCACCAGAGCCCGATTCGGGGCTCGAACTTGTGAACCGTGAGATCATGACATGAACGGGAAATTGGATGCTTACCCGACTGGGCCACCCAGGCGCCACTGATACTGTTTTTAACCTTTGTGTTTCCTACAACTAAATGACAGTAATTATTTCTATTGCCCCCTAAACTAACACCTAGTTAGGACACTGGAGAAACTTCCAGAGGCAAAGGGTACAGCCCTGTCCTAGTTGGGCAGTTTATATCAAGGATACCTCTTTTCCACCTAGAGATTTTAAAAATCAATTACCATCTAAGAAAGACAGAAAAGAAAGACAGAAAGAAAGAAAGAAAGAAAGAAAGAAAGAAAGAAAGAAAGACAGAAAGAAAGAAAGAACGAACCCAAACAAGGCACTTTTTTATTCCCTTTAATAAAGAATACAGCATGTGGGAAAGCATCTTCTCACCAGGGCACCGAACGTGTCCACCAGGAAGACAATGGAACGAACACCTGCTTCTTGTCAGAATCAGAGGTTGAAAGCATCAAGTGTGTAAGGCTCAAAAACTTGGAAGAGAGACTTTCACTTGGAAATGTTTGGCGAGACGTCCTGAAACCTTCACCGGGCAATCTTTGAAATACACTCAGCGTCGCCAGAAAACCAGTTTTCCACCGAAATAAAGAGCCAGGAGGTAGAATTTATTTGCTCATAGCAACACTCATTTTCCCCCCAAAATGAGCACTTTGGAAGAGTTGCTTGCACACCGGGGTCTGACTCAGGCCAGCAACCAGCCATCCTCCAAGTCTGGAAGCTCTAAAAGGCCTGACAAGGTCCCCTCCCCCCCAACCCCCAAGCCTCTAACTCCGACCTTGTGTTTCTGCGCCTCGTGGGGTGGTTTACTAATTTAGAGTTTATTCCTGGCCCTCCCCGCCCTCTTCCGTTCTCAAAAACCCAACCAGCAGGGCTCTCCGGCAGGGATTGGGGCGCGGGGGGCGGGGGGCAGAAGAGGGGAGGCCGCGAAGTCATTAAGGACCCCAGAAGCTTTAACACCACGATTACACAATCCGCCGGGACGGCCCAGAAGTGGCTCTGAAAATGCCTGCTGACGCCTCCAAGTTCTGGCGTGGCTTGAATGACTGCAGAACAAGTACGGCAAAGGGATGGGCGCCCGGCAGAAACAAAACCCCGCAGCCCATCCCGACAGGCGACGAGCGGGCGCTGCGGGGACGCGGACCCACGCGCACACCCCTACAGCCCCGCAGCCCGGCCCCGGAGCCCTCGAGGGCCCCGAAGCCACCCCGGGCCCCTGCGGGGCAGCTCCACTCACCAGAAACTGGAGCATGGTGTCCGCGAGGAAGGAGCGAAGGGCGGCTGCTGCTCGGTGGGCCCGTCCGAGCCTGCCTCTGGGGCGGAGGGCGGAACCCGCCGTGGGCTTCCGGGTCACGCCCCGCCCCGCCCGCGCCTCCCGCCTCGCCTCGCCCCGCCCCGCCGCGCCCCGCCCCACCCGCGCGCCGCTCGCGGCGCCCCGGCTCCCCCTGCCGGAACGCCCCGGAATTACCACCTGAACTGGCCGGCTGGTGAGAAGGCCGAGGAGGAGCAAGTCCCAAGTCCCAGGCCTGGCTGGATAGTTTTGGTCGTTCATATGCCGGGACGTCAGTCCCCCAAATCCCGCTTCTGGAAACGTGGGTCGGGCCCCGGGATCTATATTACTACCAGCACCCCGACGATTCAGATGCACTTAGGCTTAGGACTCCCTGAACTGCAAGGACGGCAGGAGGCCATCCCCAGGTGCAAAGCAGAATCCGAGCTTTTGCAATACAATATACCCCGTCCTCATGCAGAAACCATGGAGGGGAGGAGAGCTGTACTTTGCAAAAGTGCCGCATGTATGCTATGGAAACTGCAGTGAGTACCTGTGAGAGAGGTTAGGTGCTTAAGTTGGAGGCCTTTGGAGCCTGACACAACTGTGTCCAATTCATGACTGCCTTCGCTTCCCGGTTACTTAATCTCTTTGAAGTTCGCCTTCCTTCTCTGTAAATGGGTCTAATGCCAGCTCCCTTGCTGAATTGTGGGAATCAAGTGAGACATGAGGGATCAATAAATGCCTGTCATGTAAACTGGTGAGGCCAGTGAGCTCAAGAGACCTCTCCCCATCCTGTCTCCACACAGAGCTTGCCCTATCATATTATGAGCCACGTCTCCCTCCTGGTCTTTGAAACCCTCAACAACCTCCCTTAACACGTGCTTACAAAGGATGACCACCTTTTCTCTTTGCTGTCAACCTTCAGAACTCACCCTTGTCTATTAAGCAGAACTCTTGTTCCAAACTATAACAAAACATACTAGTTTTAACCCTATGGAGTGTATGATAGAGATACAGTGGACAATGATGAAGAACAGGAAAGCGATCAGGAATTAAGAAGCATTTTCTCTCCATTTCTGCTTTTCTCCATAAAGTTACAGATCAAAAACAAAACAAAGCAAAGCAAAACAGAAATAGAAACAGTAAAATTACTAGAGGAAAAAAAGGAGAAATTGTTTCCTAATTTCCAAATTGGAAGGTTCATGAAACAAAATTCAGAAGCCGTAACACAAGATTGATAAAATCAACCGTCTAAAAATTAAAAATTCCTGTATGGAAAAAAAAAAGATAAAACAAGTGAGAAAGGACTAATTTCCTTTGTATGAAGAGTTCCTACAAATCAATGAGACCAACAACCCAATAAAATGTGTTCAAAGGATATGAACAGCTCACAGAAAAGGAAATACAAATAGCTCAAACATATGGAAAGATAACTCAGTGGCATTCACACTAAGAAAAATGTAAATTACTACCATAATGAGGTATCATTTTTCTCCAGATTGGCAAAAATCAAAAAGCTTGGTAACACATCTCATTGGAAAGAGTAGGGAAACAGGCATAGTGATTCAGTACTGATGGGGATACAAACTGTTAAAACTTCATTGGAGGGTAATTTGGTCAAAACTATCTTAAGTTTAAGTGAGCAAACCTTCTGTCTCAGCAATTGGGTTAAATTGTGTATGCTCAAAAATATTCACTGTAGCAAGAGATTGGAAACAGAGATCATGCCATTCTCAACAATCAGTGCCAGAGGGATTAATGACCTAATGAGGAGGCAACATTTTTTTTAAGGTTTTATTTTTATGTTTGAGAGAGAAACCACAAGTGGGGGAGGGGCAGAGAGAGAGAGGTGGACAGAGCATCTGAAGTGGGAGCCAGATGCAGGTCTTGAACTCAGGAACCGTGAGATCATGACCTGAGCCAAAGTTGGATGCTCAACCGACTGAACCACCCAGGTGCCCCAGAGGAGGCAACATTTTTAAACTGTCAAAAGACAATACTGAAAAGTAGATTTATGACCCTCAAGTT